TATGCCGCTGCTGACTCAGCCGCCATGCCTGACTCTGCCTCGAGCTTCCTTGGTGCGGCACTACCCCAACTGGGGCCTTCCAGATGCAGCGCCCAACAAGGTAATGAAGATGGTGTCCACCATAGCCAGGTAGGTGCCTCGCCACTCTCCTCCTTCGCTCCCTTCTTCCTCCTCCTCAAGCTGGGCTGCTCGCCATAGCCAGGCTGAGCGCCCAGCTGCCCTTCACCTCCAGGCAGCGCTGCACAAGTCCAGCGCTTGGTTCAGCAGCATGTCCCCAATCCTTGCATACCGCAAATGAGGAGGAGCTGCTTGCTCCTCCGGAAGATATAGCGGCCTACTGGCCTCTTGGGCGGTGACTTACTAGGCCGAGCGGCCTCCCAGCAACCGGTACCTCCTCCCTTTCGGAGGAAAACATCATTGCAGGCTCTGCTAACGTCCGGACAGGCCCTAGACTCAGTCTATTTGGACTGGTACCGGCCTACCTCTAACCTACTGCTACTGGGCCTCTAAATATGCCAACTTTTTGTCTTCTTCTGCTCGGCCTCCATTACCGGACACCCCTATCACTACTTGAGTGGTACCGGCCTACCTGCTACTTGAGTGTTTTTCCGCCTGCTCTAAGTGTCGCGGGCCTACCCCCGCTACTTGAGCGTTTTCCCCGCTCCAACCCTCAAAGTCACGGCCACGGGTAAGTACCGGCCCTGCGGGGCCTTTCAATCAACAAGTACCCTTGCGACACACACACACACTCAGCCGACAAGCACTCAGACAGGCACACACACACACACAGACTTGGAAACCACAGCAGAATGCGGGAATCTCAGCAAGGCATTCATTCCAGCGGCAAATCCCAGAAATCAGCAGTGTTCTCAGTCTGTGTTTTGGCGGGTCATTACACTTTTTTTATTTCTTAATCAAAATGGAGTCGTAGATGTAGAGGATCAATCAATGGCGGCGATGGGAGTTGAACCAATAACTCCATAATCGCAAAACAGTGATTGATCAGCCACATGAACTACACATCGCTGGGAGTTGAACCAATAACTCCATAATCGCAAAACAGTGATTGATCCGCCACATGAACTACACATCGCTGCCAGTTTTCCCTAGTTTCCCAACAGTGGCAGAGGTACTACAGTCTTTCCCCGAGTACAACGTGTGGTCATTATAGCTGCATTTGGGGTATTGTTCAGTCTAAATTCAGCTATAATGACCGTACGTTGTATTCGGGGAAGGACTGTAGTGCTTTAAAGTACTCCATTTTACCACTTGAGCGGCACCCTTGACGGAACGGAGTACCTTGAAGCACTAGTACCTCCGCTAGTGGTCGTAGGCCGAAGGGGCTGTGTTTACCTCCCTTGTGGTTGTCATGTTGTGCCGTGCACTCACGTGGTTGCAGGGCACGTACCGGTAGGTGGGGCACTCAATGGTAGTTGGGAAGGTGGGACCATTAAGGGAGAGGTGTCGAAGTGGGTGGCGGATCCATCCGCGGCCTTGGCTTGTGGACGGCGGCCTGAATTTCGACGCAAGGTCACGGGAGACTGGTTGCTTGTGTGAGGAGGGGTTTCAAAGGGGTTTGATTTGAGGGTTGTGCAAAATTGAGAATGGATATTTTTTCGAAAATGGGCAGATGCATTGCCATATTTCTCGTCTTTTGTGGGTAGAACCACCACCAAATTTGTCGTCTTTTGTGCAAGTGGTGAGTAGTGGACCGAGGGCCATCGTGTGCAGTTGGCAGGCCGCGGATGCATCTGACCGCAATGGCGGCCAGGCGAGAATGAATTTCTGCCAGATCATGGACCTGGGGCCACTGGCATATGACTGATGACATCACATCCCATCACGAACAAAAGAAACAGGAAAAAAAAAACCAATATTTTTGAACTCGCCCCTGGCCGTGACTGCAGTCAGATGCATCCGTGATCAAGCGGCCTACCTCAGTTGGTAAGGCACACAAGTTGCATTCAGGATCGCTCCTAAAACGTTGGAGGCCCACCCGAGGCCCGCTATTTTCCCACTCGGAGAAGGTACTAGTGGTTCAAAAAAAAAAAAAAAAAAAAGAAGACTGCACAAGGGGGAGTTATTGCCGATGGTCAACATGACAAGACGAAGTTTTGGAGAAAGAGACATGCTGTCGATTTTCAAGGCAAAGGATCTGCAAAAGTTAGTGCAGAGTTGGGGGAAAAAAAAAAAAAAAAAAAAAAGGATCATAGGCACTGGTTGCTTCACAAATGTCTCTGACTGTGACATGAATGAGGGAAATAATCTGGTCTTTGTTACTCTTGAATTTTTAATAAATTAATGAATAAATTAAATGGTAATTGACAATTGGTACAGGTACTACCGGATCTCGCTTTCTTTTCACTGAAAGATGGAAAAGGATATGGTAAAAAAGAAAGGAAAAATGACAGAGATTGGATAAAATATTGTGATAATTTGATAAAATATTAAATAATAAATATATTTTAAGATATTTATTTTTTTGAATTAATTTGATTCACATTATTATGTAAACTGATCCAGTATATGTGCTGTATGTGGTGGCAGGCATTAGACGCAAAGCAGCATGGAATCGAGAAGGAGATAGTGAAAAGCTTGGAATTGTGGGAGACCATACATGGTGAGTGTTTTTTTTTAATATTATTTTTTATTTTTTTTAGCCTTTTATATATTGTGAACCTAGGCTATCAGAGTGGCTCGAGGCAACTTGCCACGCTGGGCCCAAAAAAAAAAAAAAAAAAAGGAAGCTACCAGCCGGGCTGCCTGGGTCCCGGG